GTTTTTCTACAGCACTGAGTTTGTAATGACGAGGCCCTCCGGGCCTAACAAATAAAATTTATTTATTTATTGAACTTCTCCAGACTTAGACGGAAACCATAGTCATGACTTCGGCTGAGTACCGTCTCCAGACGTTGCGACAGTTCATCTGGATTTGAACCAGTGATAATGATATCATCCAGGTAAGCAGCGGCTCCTTTGGTGCCCGTCAGCATGGTGTCCGTGGTTTGCTGGAAGATCGCGGGAGCAGTCTTAACCCCGAATGGCAAACGGGTGTATTGGAAAAGACCACGATGGGTGTTAATGGTAGGAAGCTCCTGGGAACCTTCATCCACCTCGATTTGGAGGTATGCTTCGGATAGATCAATCTTAGCGAAACAAGTTCCACCATTCAGCTTAGCAAACAGATCTTCTGGCACGGGCAAAGGATATTGATGTGTGTCCAAAGCAGCATTGAGGCCAGTGGCAAAATCAGCAAAGATTCGGACTTTACCTGAGGCTTTCTTGACAGCAACGATTGGTAGGGCCCATGCTGAGTAGTTGACTGGATGAAGAACGCCATCTCTTTGAAGACGATCAAGTTCTTGGTCCACCACTGTAAGGGCAGCGTAAGGAACCAGCCTTTTTGGTCTGAAAGCAGGTTTTGCGTTTGGTTGAAGACGAAGAGTTACCTTCAGCTTGTTGCAGCAACCAAGACCGTCTTGAAAAACTGGAGCAGACTTCGCCTGTAAGGTTGGCATCAGATTTTTCGCCAGTTGATTCGATTTAGCGGGACTGGGCCAAGTTGACTGCATACCATTGCAAATGCGGTTAAGTGGCAGTTGTAGGAGAGCGAGTTTCTCGATCCAGTCAAGGTCATTTAAGTCAAGCTTCGGGCAGTTGGTAAGGTAGCATGTTCCCTCGAATTGAATGCCCTCAAAGGAAACGTCACACCCAAGCTCACCCGTGAGCCGGAGGAATCCTTCCAAAACATTCGTAGCCTTTTACCCGATGTGATCATCGGAGGCCGTCCAATCATCTGCCAAGTGTGTTTGGAGATGAGGCTGATGTCTGATGCCGTGTCCAGCTAGAGGTGTACAAGATTGCCATTGATGGTAACCGTAAGATATTTCAGTCTGGAATGTGGCTTGGATTGAGTTGGACTTAAGGCCACAGTAAGATGAAGGGCGTTTGGAACTTCCCGCCTTCCTGTTGCCTGCCTTTGATTTGAGGGGTTGGCCCGCCGGACAGTGATCTTCCTTATGCCCTCGTTTATGGCATTTGTGACAAACAGGCTTCTTGAATGGACAGAAGCGAGCAAAATGCCAGTCACCACACTGCCAGCACGCTGATGGTGGTTTTCTGGGTGTTGGATCTTGGGACTTCTGAGGCGAGATTGACTTCGTCCGGATGACAGCATGAACATTGGCGGCGGCAAACGAGGAACTGGGTTGCTCCACGATCGCAGAATCATGCTTAAGATTCTTCAGCTGCTGACACTCGGCCGTCAATGTCTGCAGAGTTGAGTCTAGGTCCTGTTCAATCTTGGAGAGCAGACGCGTCCGGATTTCAGCATCACGAGGTGCCTGGAGGGCGCTCATAAAAATGAGACATTTGAATTGGTCGTCTGTCCTCTCTCGGAGCTTGAACTTTTCGCACTCACGGTTGAAGGTACTGGCGAGTGGTAGAAAATCATCTGCCTCATTCTTGACCAGCTTGAGGCACTGGTAGCGGATGCTGAACAGGGAGGACTTCTCGCTAAAGATCTGTGACAGGCGATTGACGGTTTCTCGGCAGAATGATATCCACGTACGACTCGTGTGTTCTCTGGTGCGGTGTGTCTTATTTGAAATGGCAAATTACATCGATGAAATAATCGAATGTAAGCGCCACTTCAACACACGCCATGATACCTTTGCATCAAGGTACCCTGCCGGAGATAGCAGAAAGAAAACATACCAAGAGCTAATGAGCACGGTGCAAGCCAGACAGCAGTAACTCCACGTATGGACCCGGCAAGGTGACTATAACTCCGCTAGCTCTGCAATATCGTTAGCAATAGTGGGGAACGGAAAACCATTCACAGATGGCGAGTATGCTAAAACGTTCATGCCGGATGTAGTCAATACATTTTTATGGTCTTCCGAACTAAGACAAGATAGAGAAGAAAATGACTCGATCGCTGGCACAATACGTTTATTCGCCTGAGGTTTCGACATCCGTCGCGAATTCATCATCAGAGACGTTAGCAGAAAACAGTAGCAAGATAATCAAACGGATACAAGACATGCCTCTATCGGCAAACATTTTTCATGAGCGTGCCATCATGATGGCAACCCACGTGAAGGAAACGCAAGTGAAAGACATAAATGCAGTGCCATTCTTTTTCCTGGCCTTGGATGAGCCAGCAGACGTAAGCGCCAGTTTTAGCCCCCCAGCTCGCACTTTTAGCCTCTTTCCCCTGATCATTGTCTCGGTTGCCCTGCCCCGGTTCCGCGGACACCCGCGCCACCCTTTACGTCAACCGCGTACCATTTAACACGCGCTGGTCTAGGGCCAGCTTAGACCACCCCCC